CTCTGATTACTGCTTTGCACACTCTTGGCATTCTCTCCATGAGCTTCAAGAGGTAGTCACCTGAAATGGTTTCCACTTCACAGGTGTGCCTTATCAGGGTTAATTAGTGGAATTTCTTGCTTTATCAATGGGGTTGGGACCATCAGTTGTGTTGTGCAGAAGTCAGGTTAATACACAGCCGACAGCCCTATTGGACAACTGTTAAAATTCATATTATGGCAAGAACCAATCAGCTAACTAAAGAAAAACGAGTGGCCATCATTACTTTAAGAAATGAAGGTCAGTCAGTCCGGAAAATTGCAAAAACTTTAAATGTGTCCCCAAGTGGAGTCGCAAAAACCATCAAGCGCTACAACGAAACTGGCACACATGAGGACCGACCCAGAAAAGGAAGACCAAGAGTCACCTCTGCTTCTGAGGATAAGTTCATCCGAGTCACCAGCCTCAGAAATCGCAAGTTAACAGCAGCTCAGATCAGAGACCAGATGAATGCCACACAGAGTTCTAGCAGCAGACCCATCTCTAAAACAACTGTTAAGAGGAGACTGCGCGAATCAGGCCTTCATGGTCAAATAGCTGCTAGGAAACCACTGCTAAGGAGAGGCAACAAGCAGAAGAGATTTGTTTGGGCCAAGAAACACAAGGAATGGACATTAGACCAGTGGAAATCTGTGCTTTGGTCTGATGAGTCCAAATTTGAGATCTTTGGTTCCAACCGCCGTGTCTTTGTGAGACGCAGAAAAGGTGAACGGATGGATTCCACATGCCTGGTTCCCACTGTGAAGCATGGAGGAGGAGGTGTGATGGTGTGGGGGTGTTTTGCTGGTGACACTGTTGGGGATTTATTCAAAATTGAAGGCACACTGAACCAGCATGGCTACCACAGCATCCTGCAGCGACATGCCATCCCATCCGGTTTGCGTTTAGTTGGACGATCAATAATTTTACAACAGGACAATGACCCCAAACACACCTCCAGGCTGTGTAAGGGCTATTTGACCAAGAAGGAGAGTGATGGAGTGCTGCGGCAGATGACCTGGCCTCCACAGTCACCGGACCTGAACCCAATCGAGATGGTTTGGGGTGAGCTGGACCGCAGAGTGAAGGCAAAGGGGCCAACAAGTGCTAAACACCTCTGGGAACTCCTTCAAGACGTTGGAAAACCATTTCAGGTGACTACCTCTTGAAGCTCATGGAGAGAATGCCAAGAGTGTGCAAAGCAGTAATCAGAGCAAAGGGTGGCTATTTTGAAGAAACTAGAATATAAAACATGTTTTCAGTTATTTCACCTTTTTTTGTTAAGTACATAACTCCACATGTGTTCATTCATAGTTTTGATGCCTTCAGTGAGAATCTACAATGTAAATAGTCATGAAAATAAAGAAAACGCATTGAATGAGAAGGTGTGTCCAAACTTTTGGCCTGTACTGTATGTCTTTTATCTTTTTCTAACCCTAACCAAGTTGCCTCAACCTAACCACACTTTAACCACAGCACTGTTTAAACGTTAAGTTTTGGTAATAATGTAGTGTATCTGTGGTTTGCAAAAACGTACCATGCCAACATTTTTCTGGCAACTGGGTTGCCACAAACTACCAATACTGATTCAAGTGACAACAAAAGTTTGAGTTTGAGTACTGAAAGCACCAATAGTAGATAACTGCAAAAGCAATATGGGGTTTCATTACAACAGAGAGAGAGAGACAGAGACAGAGACAGAGACAGAGTTAGAGGTAGAGATGGCCTGTCTACACATGACAACATAGTCAACTTCTTTTTACAGTAATAATAACATTGTGTGTGTGTGTGAATAAGAAGGATAAAAAGACAGAATCGTGATAGAAACGCATAATTGACCACTTCATTCATTTGCCTAAATTCCAGTCAATGAAATAAAAAGGAAAAACAATGACTTAAATGTGTTTCTCTGCTCTGAATTCTATACATAATAAGGCAGATTTCTTCCTGCAGACTGTGTGCAAAAATATCAACCTCAGGTTTACCTGCAAGAACCTGTTCAACACGCTAGTAACAAACCTAACTAACACCTACTTCCAGGAGAGGACAGGGACATGGAATTTCAGTGGGCAATGTTCAGAGCCTCAATTTGCAGAGGTAGCTGTACAGAGTTAAATTCATACGTACGATAATCCCAAATATAATGCCAACCAGATTACATCAAAATGATATGATAAATAGTCAATGTGTGTAGCAAATATGCATGTGGCTGGTTAACAAAGTATAAAATAAAAAAACTAGCTTGATGAATTTTGACACTGAGGTTCCACAGGCTCTTTTGACACACAAACACTTTTGTCTTTATAAGTCCAGTCACCACCGGCTAGTAAGAAAAGAGTTTTTTTCATATTTCCCAAATTTATGGACAGAGGTTAAACAAAAGTGAATACTGGACTAAATCCATCAGGTGGCCAGAAACACCTCTCCATCTGAATGAAAAGCCAAGAACACACTAAGCAGCAGCAAAGGGCAGCCTGCAGTGAGCTACCGTGCCATGTCCATGGAAACCTACAGCGGCTGCTCTGAGCTGCAGCTGTTTGATTCTGCAGCAAAGTGCGTCAAAACTAAAAGTTGGATAGAGTGTACCTTTTAAGGGCGAACTGAAGCCAAAGAATACCCACAGCCAATCAGTAAACGGGGTCATTGGACTCCTGTGACATGTTGACCTGTGTTACAAAGAGTTTTACATGAAACACGTGAATGTGCCTCCCGGCTGCAGAAGAATGCTGCTTAGTGTGTTTTCAGCCTAACTGTTGGATATGTAAATAAGTAACTGTTTGTTAACAAATTTGCCATATCAATTTATCAGCTTATGTCAAGGTTGATAATATGTCAATGTTGTGTTCACAACGTGTTTCCATTGCTCTTGGGTTGGGGAAAAAAAATATACTGGCCATATGAAAACACGGGTTTGGGTTGACAGAGAACCACAATCTGAAATTCCAGGCCAGGCACAAGTGTTTGATACAGATATAGACAACACAGCTCATATTAAGAAGTAGTTAGAAAAAAAACACAACACATTAACCTCTACATCTGCTAAAAAGATCCACTCATCAGCACACAAATTACTCCCTGTACTGGAGGAAGGCTTTGTTGTAGAACAGGAAAATAAGACAAATATAGATCTTCCCTTCATCTGCTTAAACCAAAAAGAAAAATGAATTTAGAGCTTGTATTTTCCAGTGTTAACACCAACCTGCTTGGTTAGCATCTCCCAGTAAGTAATGCAAGTGAAAGGTTATTTGGTTATGTCAACATGCTGTTGACTAACAAGAGGTAAACACGCCTAAAGGTTAGCTCTCCTCACACTGTGTGGACAGGATCATGGCGGATTCATTCCTAAGATGTTTTTGAGTGTGTAACTTTAATGATGTCATCTTTAGCCTATCTAAATAAGGTCAGTATCAAATGCAGAAAAGCATCTTCTTTTTTGCTTTATATTTGGTAAAGAGTAAGCTATATTGTAAACGTATCAACTATATCAACAATTAAGGCCCAGAGCTTCACTGTAAAGCTTAGGTGAGCAGAGACAAAATATAAAAACAACACCAATTCAGTTCAGTTAAATCTACTGAAAAACATTTTTTCAAGTAAACACATCAGTGGTCTTGATGGTGTGTGTGACATTGGTCAGCTTGGTAGAGACACTGTGGCTGGTGCTGGCCACTGTCTTTTAGCTGTGCTGCTGAAAAAACACGGAGTGCTGACAGTGACTTCTTAAAGGAGCTTACACTTACGCACTGCTGACCTCTTGTGTCTAGTTTAAATTTGGGTCAAGACTCCTTGTTGTGCATTTTAGATTTTCTAAACATAATCAGTGGCTAGTTTATTTGCGCCACTACAACTGCACTCTAAGAAATAAAGGTGCTAACTAGAGCCATACATGGTTCTTAAGCCTCCTAGTGGAGAACTCTTTTTGGTTCCTGGTAGAACCTTTTGTAAAGGGTCTAACTAGAACCCAACAAAAAGGGTTATACCATCTGTGAAAGGTTCCACCCAGAACCCTTGGTAAGAGGTTCTGCAGACAACTTCCTGAGGACTAATTGTTCCACCCAGAACCTTCTCTGGGGATACTATTCAGAACTTTGGTTTTACCTGCTATGGATGCTTACAAGGACCCACTTTAGATCCCCGTTATAGTCCAAAGGTCCATCTAGAACCCATCCGGGGGGGTTCTACCAAGGACCCTTTTATATTGCAAGGGTTTCATCTAGAACCCAACAAGGGGTTTTACTAAGACCCTGTTTTATTCCAAGGTTTTCAAGAAGAACTACTCCAGGGATTTTGGCAGGAACCCTTTACATTCCAAGGAGGTCATCCAGAGCCCACCTAGGGGGCCATTATAATTAGTAAGTGACTACATTACCCATAGTTCTCTCTTCCAGTAACATAGCTTTAGTTTAACAGATTTGCCTAGAGCCAAGGTAACCAACTGACGTGGTCCAGTGCAACTCACTACCTTTTCAGGAGGTGGAGATTCTACTACTACATCATTTACAATTATAACTGTGCAGTACAGTTGGGAACTGAAACACAGGTTTATATATACCAAACAAAATGCCAAATAGTGGGTACCCACATAAGAAGAAATCAGACTATTTGGTATTGTATGGCATTAAATGATGGTAGAAATATCAGCTATGGCAGAATAAAAGTAAACTGAACTGATTGAGGGGGGTTCTACATTTAAAAATACCATTTGAAACATAGGTATACGTATAAAAAATTTGAGAGTCTGACTTGGTCTTACTAAAACCCTTGAAGACAGTTTCTTAAAAAAAAAAAGGTCCTTCAGAACCAAATGGCTCTGGGTTGAACATCAGCCCTTCATACAAAAAACATTTAGAAACCCTTATTTCTAAGAGTGTAATGTAGTCTCGTCCAGCAACACTAAAACTAATAATCTGACTATAATACTAGTTACATTCAAGATAAAAAGTGAATTAAAATGGAAAGTGGCATATGAAAAGATAAGGTACCTTCATTTTTTTGGCCTCAGCACGGCTCTTGTAGCAGAACTCTACCAGCGCTACCATCATGGCCAGACCCAGACCTCCAACCAGGATGTAGAAGACTCCTGCTACGTTACTGAGAGACAGAGCGCTGGTCTTTTCCTAGTACACACACACACACACAAAGGGAAAAAAGAGGACAGCCACCCAGAGAGGAGTGTTAAAGGGTGTTTTTATGTTGACAGCGCTTATTGTAATGACTGACACACTACCACTGAACTATTTCATTTTCTCTTTATTTGGCAGCATGAAACTAAACTAACTTGTCATCTGCACACAGTTGTAACATTGGCTCTAGATTAGGACAGAACAGAGTCACAGACAACTAGACTAAACCTGACCTGCACACACTGAAGCCATGCTTTCCCTTATCAGTTTGCTTGTGTGAAAGTCAGTGTGTACCTTTGTGTGTACTGTATTTATGAATGTCTGACTACTTTTCGGTGATGTCACTGTGTTCACACAACTCAGCAGTTACTTTTGTGAATACAATGAAATTATAAACAGTAGAAACAGTAAATTGTAGTTTTCCTTTAATCTCTATAGGATAGTGGGATCAGCCAAATGTCACATATACTGTATAATTAACAGATTAACATTGGACCTTAACTTAACAGCAATGTTTCACTGCCCGGGCTGGTTGAAAGCTTCAGTTCTGTTAAGGCTGTTCTCTGTGCACTGTTTGTATGTATACCTAGGAAAAGTAATGAAACAGTATATAACCCACGTACTAGTAAGGGCTGCGATTACATGACGATACGCTGGCAGGAGTAAAGAACCAAGTGGTATAAAGAGCAAAAGTCCAAGCAAGGAGGTGGGCCCAACATCAAACGCCTTTACCAGAGTAGGCCGGTGTTCGTATCCCATATGAAACCAAGTAACTTTGAGTTATTTTAAGTTACATTGTCACATTGTCATGCTATGTTAAGTGCGTAACTTAACACTATGTACCTAACATGAAAAAGCCCAACCATGATTCTTTTCCTAAATCTAACCTACATAACTTTACATAAGGTACATAACTATGTTCAGTATCTCACATGACAACGCCCAGCCATGTATCTTTTCCTAAATTTAACCTACATAAGATTTGTTTCCTTGACCTAACCAACGTAACTTTACATTAAGTATGTAACCACGCTCAGTATGCAACGTCACAAAACCCAGCCATGTATCTTTTCCTAAAGCTAACCTGTTATTTTAGTTTCCTACACCTAACCCACTGCCTGTATGTCTAATATGTAACACAACGAAACCCAACAATGATTCATTTTTCGAAACCTAACCTACGTAATATTAGTTAAGTGTGCAACTTCTCGTTCAGTATGTCACATGACACGCTGGGAGCTAATTCCTTCGATATCACACAAACCATTTTATGTGCATTTTTGTAAGATGTGTATTACATGAGGATACATTGCTCTGTTGCACCTGTAACAACTCCCAGCAGTGTCACAGGCTCCTCGAGAGCACCTGTGCTGTACATTACTGCAGTAAGGTGAAAAGTTAAACAACTGGAGATAAAAAAAAAACAAGATTTTCAGCAGCTGTTCTTTTTAGGAGCCATTGGCCAAAAGCTAACAGTATCATTTCTTTTTAATTGTAGCGCAACATAAGTCTGGTAGAGGTACCCTGTGGAGATTAAAGGCCGACCATTTGAAAGAAATTGGCTTCCAACAGTTCTTAATATTTTGAAACAGAAAACGCATCCATTGCACCCACTGAAAGTATGCCTCATTATCCCCATTTGTATGATTCATTACGTCTCTCTCCTCTGTGTGATGGGAAGCTTTCCATGCTGCCTTCCAGTGTGGCCCTTCAGAACAGGTATAAACACTTTTCCCTGTAGACATGATTAGACTGTATAATGTACAGTGTCGTCTGTTTGAAGCATACTGAGGCCTTCTACTAATACAGTTCTGTTTGCATCCATCGTTTCTCAACAAAACAGTGGATCATGGATTAATGCACTTCCTTTCTGATAGAACGCCTGCAAAAAGCTGATTCTTTGAATATTGTGGAATCCTGCTTTATTTACATCCAGGTGTGCTAGCTGACAGTCTCTGTAGGATACACATTGTAGCACATAAAAAGCACATACACTGTATCAGCGCTCTAATTCTTGAGGGGGTTCACCAACCATGTCTTTGGCTGGCTAATTATGCAACACTGTGCTCAGGAACCAGCGACATAGCCTGCAGCCTACATTAACATCTACATATGGCCATAAGAATAATAAGAATATGGCCGCGGCTTCCATACTGTCAGTCATGCTGGCTCACCCTCCAGCCCAAACTGAGACAAAAGAATGCATTTAACATTTAGGCAGGCAATGCAGCTGCTCAGTCAGCACATCACCATGGTGTCTATGATTTCCCACTTCTGTGCTCACACTACTTTCTTATCAGTAGCTTTCCCTTGATCACCTGAAAGACTGCTGATACAAATGAATCAGTGTTTGAATTATGGGAGGTCAGGGGGGCATTGCTCCCTGAAGAGGCCTGAGCATGGGAACGGGTCTTACCACTGTATTTGGTCTTAGTGGCTCAAAAAACATTGGCAATTGTTTTAAGACTTTATCTATGAAAACCCCACTGTGTCAATGAACTAGTCTTAAGTGCAATGTTATACTCTATGCTCCTTGTAAACAACCATTCTCTTTACAACACCAATTAGCTTGTTGAAAGATGGCTACACCCAGCCTGACAAGACAATCCTGATGGTGAGCTCAACATTCTGTTTCACTATCTGTGTCAGTCTGGCCCTGCTGCCATGCCAAACACTTTCCAAAAATCAGAGACTGTGTTGTAGTTGATTATGTAAATTGCAGCTTGCAGTTTGCAGAACAGTAATGACAGCTCCTTAAGCAACAAGCACTAACTCTAACATTAGCAAACACAGCAATAAGAAAAGTTATTACAGAAATAGAGTCAATAACAACAATTAAACAAGAACATCATGCTATTTTACTATCTAACATGCTATTTTAAGCGCTGCTTTATCTAATTTACATGCCCGTGTGTTTTGTGTTCTGTATTGCATTTTTTTATTGTGTTTTACTGCATACTAAGGGAATACCTCCTAATCTTGTTGTTTTGCGCTGCAGCACAATGACAATAAACTCTATTCTTTTCTGTTCTGCTCTGTTCTATTCTAACAAGAGTATGCACTTGCAGAGAATGTTAGAGGAAAATACGTTTTCACTGTGTTGGATTTAGATGTTTTGTTACGCTGATTGGCTGAAGGAGTTTGTCTGCCAAAGCAAGAACTGCCGTCCACTGAAAGTGTTTAGGGCAACAGTGAGTCCAGACGGAAACAGAGAACGGAACACAATGTTGAGCTCACGTCATCAAGATGGTCCTGCTAGGCAAGGCTACACCCTAATCAAAGTTAAATGCTATCTAGTTTTCTAGCAAATCCAGATGAATATTTAGTTTGACTGCCTTGTCATATCTTGCCTAAGATAAAGGATTAATCAAGCCATAGTCACACTGTTCAGTGTTTCATCTCCATTTTAAGGTAAACAAGGAGCTCTTTGCTGCCAGCAGACCTGCCTAATGGAAACCTGAACCATGGGAGGCTGCATACAGATGGCATACCCATCACCTTCCTGCCACCAGCCTTCACCAAATACTGTCTATACCTCATAATATGCTAATGGTTGTTTCCAGGATCTTCCTATCATAAATTCCTTTCTCACCTCCTCACATAGGCGGATTGTCAAACCTCTCCCAGTTATCACTAAATTGAGTGTTGCTTGATTAATTAAGCTGCTGTGGCTGGCAAGCTCCCCAAACTGTAAACCGCTTCATAACTGGTCACCTGGCAAGGCAGAGTTTACCAAAGTTGAACTGCACTTGAAACCTCCAAAAAGATTTACTCTGCCATCAGGAACAATTTCCCTGACAATGGCGATTTCAATGGAATGACCTTAATTTGGACCTGTCGCTCATGTAACTGGGCACTTAAAAACTGTCTCAAGCTTGGGCTCCAAGGAGTCCAGAGATATGTAATACACTGTGGTTCATGCCATAGCTAACATGCCGCTTCCTGGAGGGTCTGCGGGCTGTTCAAGGATGAGAGCAGTATGTCCCTTCAAAGAGGCCAGAGGCCTGATAATGATGTCTGATGATGTCGCACGTAATTAACACCCCCACCTCTTTCACATGAACATGCTCATGGCTGGATAGGAAAACCCAGAGCTTATTTAACTAGTTGATAACCAGCTTTGTACCCATTATCCAGAAGGCCAATGTTAGGGTTAGTCAAGCAAGATAATGAAAACATATCCTGGAAACCCCTGGAAATGGGGGAAACAAATAAAAAAACCCAACAAATAATCCCTTCACCCAACAAGCCAACTCTCTTCAAAGTCCTTAACCTATAGACATGGTCATTCCTGTCATTATCCCACGCAACAACACATTACCTTTTCTTTGCAGACATTACCTTATAAACTCAATGTGTCTAAATAGTGTTTCAGACAGACAGATAGACAGACAGACAGACAGACAGACAGACGTTAACTTAAAACAGACAAAACAAACAGTACAGTGAGCCTAGTGCACAGTGAGTTTATCTAAAGAAGTTCCACTGTTTACAGGACACCACTTATTTTTCCTCCTATTAGAATTATACTCACACTTTGGCAGTTGAACCTCCATGCTTTAACCTAGGGGTGCCCTTCACATTACATACAGCTGGAACTAACCTGAACTTAACCATACTGTGTGAGGTTTTTGTTTCAGGTTTACACATATAGACATATGGGACTACTGTAATCGTAATGTGCAAGTATGCTTTCGTATCCTGGTACATGTAGAACCAAGCTTACTGTGCATGTTAAATGTGTGAACAGACAGTATGTTTGATTGATCCACAGACATATACGACTAACCTTATTGGTGGAGTCCTTGAAGCCACACTCTCCTTTATCGTACCACCACTTGTTTTTCATCTTGTCTAGGGTCCCTTGCTCATTCAGTTTCAATACGGCAAGGTTTACTGGCACTCTTTAATGGGAATAACATAAATAACATCATTATCAATGTTATCTTATGTTATTAGTGGGGCAGCAATTCTCACACTCTGGTCTAGTGACCAAGACAGGGCCCAGTAATGCTTGTTATTTGCAGGGAAGTCATCTGTCATTACGGATACAACATTAGACCTTGGCTTTAAAAAGCAAGCCGAAATGTGTGCAGAAGAGACTTTCACAGCAAAAATTTAAGTTCTCTCTCCGTCTTTTGTCAAATGCTAAATGCTAACATGTTTTATAGCAGAGATTACTACAGTCCCCAGAAGGACTGTGTAGACCTTTTAGTCTGTTATCACTGTGATTAATTAGACACAGCTGTTTAAAATCAAGCCCTGCATTGTCGGAGCCTGTCTGTTCGGCCCCAGAGACAGAGAATGAGAGGCGCTGCAATGAAAAGCCTTTCTGCTTTTTCAGCAGCAGTATTCCTCCAGGCCAGAGCCATAGATAAACGGAGTTTGTCCAGGTTGCACAAACTCTTTATCAACAGCCCTTCTCCTGCACTGTTGCTGCCATCTGGTATGAGGTCACCTGACCCTGACCTTGCCCCTGAAGCCTGCCCTAACCCTGACCTCAACCAAACAGGGTGCAACACATCGGTGGAAGAAGCAGCACAGACTACAACGCTACCTATCGGTGGAGCTGATCAGCAGCAGCTAGATCTAGTATCTATTTGTAACATGAGTATCCATCTGTTATTTTATGTGAAAGGCTACAGCTACAGAACACTGCTACCTCCACATGACATGTGCCGTTATAACTGTGCTGCTTCTTTACATTTTTTTCACCTAATAAATCAGTGCTACTTTCATGTTTGTGTGTTTTAGTGTGTACATGTGTGTGTGTGTGTGTGTGTGTGTGTGTGTATTAACCTTGCTCTCCCCTCCTCCGCTGCCGCATTCTCCCTTGTCATACCACCACTTGTTTTTCAGTTTGTCCAGCAGCCCCTGCTCGTTCAACTTTAACACCGCCAGGTTCACAGCATTTCTACATGAACACAGTGGCTGTTAGCAGTTCAGTTGTTGTCAGTGTCAGTCCTTCTGCTGGTATGCATGTTGGCAGCATGAACTGTTAATCCTTAGCATAAACAGAATATACACAGCTGGAATGCTTCTCTTTTCTTAGCATCAAACTAATCAGTATTGGATAGAATTAGCTTTAACATAGTTTAGCGGCTAAGCTCAACCTGCTGAATAAATAAGAATGTTGAACAATATGTCTAAGTCAGAATCACTTGATATGTCTTTATAGAACCATAGAGATAAGGTTGGGTTCTGATAGCCAGTTGGTGACTGATAAATTACAAATCCTTTATCGAATCATTTCTCTCTCCTTGCTCTTTGTTACTGGCAAAGAACTCTACATAAAACATCCACAAATCAGCTTCCCATTGTTAGCTGGCACTGACCATTGTTTTTACCAGTTTAAATGTCAGACATTTTCAGCTGCAGATTATGTCTTATGTTATAAATGTAGTAACTTACTTGCAAAAAGGTCAAAAATAAAACGTGGCTGTTTTCTGGTAAATGTTTTCTCTGCAAGCCATTTTTGTGTATTTTTGTGGCTGTTTCAATTATGATAAAATTGTACGCACCAAAGTCATTGAGATAAAAAGAGAGAAAAAATGGGTCCAACAGGGCAATTAAAACAAGTGATCAGGTGATCAGACAGGTTGTAAAAAAGCAAACTGAAATGAAACACCTCAAGACCTGATCAGATTTATTTTTTACAGTATCTCTACCACTTTATGAGGAGTAGTGGTTAAAATCTTGCCCTATGAAATGGGACAACCCTTCAAGACCCGATACGTCATCAGCAGTTGTCGATGGCGTTCATGTAAACAGATGCTGATGATATCATCATAATGACATTTGCCATTTAACTGATGTGTATAGAGATGCATGGACGCTCACGATTTGTTTACATTATAAGTTTCACACTATCAATCAATTAAACAAGTCGTCATATAAAAAATGATACTGTGTCACTAACAGGCCATGAGCAGTACTCTGTAGGCTAACTTAGCAAACAATGCTCCTACCCTGTAAGTCTGTGCTGATAATAGAGAAGCGATAACAAATGCAGCAACTTCACTGCACAATGTAACGTTAGCTAGTCAGCCACTGAGACGTCAACATACTATGAGCATTTTTTTGGTAATACTTGTTATAAAGAAAAAGACCATAATACATTAAAATGACACCCAGTTAAGATAAGACGATGGTTATCGTAAGTGCGGGTTTCTTTTATTGCTTGTGCAAGCATCTTATAACACTCACTTTGGAGTGTGCCTCTAAAAAAACTCAGTTTGAAGGGTCATGTAGCTCTAACACTTCACCCTACTCCTCCATCCTAACAAGGATCAGGACACCCTACCCCTAAAAGTAAATGCGCAAAACGGAGGGGTAAGGGCTAAGTGGTAGGGGCAAGGGGTGTATTGGGATTGAGCCCAAGCATGTAAAATAAGGTAACCAGAGGTGTGTCTGTGCACTGTGATGGATGTTTACAACAGAAAGATTGGCAATAATTCTACAACTTGTCTTTTCCTCTTCCAGATAAGTTTGACTAACCTGGGTGTTTGTTTACAACCCGTGTGATCATCTGACCACTCCATTTTTAGTGACGTCGTCATGTTCCAATGTGAGTATTACTTTTAGAACTGATGGCCAAACAAGAAAATATATTCAAAGTTGTATTAACCATAATTTTTCTTTAAGCTAAGTTTTGGTTTTGCTTTTCAGAGATGACAGATGAGAGTTAGAGCTAAGGTCAAAGATTGCAGCAGATAACAGGTTGGGGTTAGAACATTGTGTTAGATAAAGTGGAATTGATGGGGAAACAGGCCAAAGGTAATTTTTAATTTTAAAGAGGCACACTCTATAACATCACTCAACAGATTAGCACCTCTCAAGAGGTTGTGTCTCATCAATTTAAGTTGTCAGAGCTCTCAATCAGACTTTAATTCACATCATATTGGCTATTTAAGATAGTCAGTTTATTTCTGAATCAAGAGTTTGGATTAGGTAACTTGCAAAGACGTATGTGTACAAAAGTCACAAGGCCCCCCAATACATATTTCTAAGTTGTAGCTACAGGCTGTAAGCACTAAATAGGCTGCCAAGTAATTCTCTAGTGCATAAATTTAGCTCTACACTTTACATTTATTTACAGACCCTAATTAGATTCGATAAGGGATTTGAAGGAATTCAGATTTAAAAAGCTTATTAAATAGTGGATTCAGATTCCATAAAATGCCATCAAAGCCCAACCATACATAGACATAAAGACAACTCACCCATCCCATCACAGCCAAACTATTTGCCTGCATCGCTGACACCAGTAATCATCCTCCTCTAAGCCAGCTTCACAGCTGTTATTCAGGGACCACAGCTACACCAACACCATGACTTTGAGCCTGGTAACAATCACTGAGTAAATCCCCTGTGGGGTGACTCTGACTACTGGTGAGCATTAATTAGGCCATTAGTTTTAATGGGCACTTTCACATCTGTCTAACAATCACTTAAAATCATGATAAATGACTGCATGATTAGATCAGCAGGAACTGGAACTGTCATTTAAGCAGAGCAAAGAGACAGATTCAGTGACACAGATGGAGTAGGAGCAAATCATTGTTTTTAGCATAAGCGCTAAGCTTCCCTTACATGCAAAGTCAAACTAAGGAATGGGTCTTCTTGCTTATCATCCCGTTACCACCATGATCAGGATTGATTTATATACTGGTATAAGAATTATATTACATGCATTATGATCACTTTGGAATCATATCAAATGTATTTAGAATGGTTGGTAAAGCTGCTGATATTACAACCAGCTATTCAACAGTGTGAAATCTGTTTTGAAGGGAGTCAGAGTATTCTGGTAGTTGGTGGTGGGGCATCCTACTGCCAGTCCAATTGTATACAAATAATTTAATTAATTAAAAGATTGTTGAGTATCAATCAACATTTATCACATGTTTAATTGCCATGAAGTGATCACGTTTAACCATTCAATGTAAATATTTTTCTGTTGCTTTCAGATCATGATAGTGACGGTTGATTATTGGCTGCTTGTTGGAGCACCCTGGCTTGTGTAAGGTAGACAGTATCACCCAAGGTTTAATACCTGGGAAATAGTAGGAAGTTGACAAGCTTGTAAAATGAAGTGTTCTTTTTCTAACTCTGTTCTGTGTTTTCACAATGGGAATTACCTCAGAAGCTCCTTTGACACCACATTTGTCACTGAGAGATGTGTTGTTCCCCCCTGAATTCATTCTCGCACTCTTCCCGCGAGAAACCACACCGAGCTCTCTCAGCTCATCAAGGCTATCATGAATATCTGCGTTACAGACAACCTGTTGAGGGATACATCTCCCAGTGCACTTCCCACATTGTGCTGAATAAGTGTTAAAGAAATAAGCCAATGGTTTTCCAGTCCTTTCAGGAATCCTAGAAGACGTGAGCCAACAGGTGGACTCAGGGTCATCTAACCACATGCTCTGGTATAAAATCTCTGTGGTTAATGACCTCATCTTGTGCTACTCCTGAGGTGCATTGCAGGGCTTTTGCCATGTGATTGGCTTAGTGGTCTCAGTTGAGAGGGCTGAACCTCCTGGGCTAGGTGATGCAAAGAAAAGAATGGGTTGATTGCTGGTTTTGCAGGTCTAGTCTGGTGTACAAGCTTAAACTGCCCTGATTTTATGCAAACTGGCTGAACCAGCATTTGTCATTATGATATGTTCTGGCAAATTAAAAAGCAGCCTACATCAGCAGCCTGTGCCGACAGCGTCCTGGCGCTAAATCCAACTTGTATTGCATTAGTAATAAGCAATTTGAAAACATGATGAACATAATATTTTGTTTATAAACGGACTAATGGAGCCACTATTTTCACCAAGGTTGTGCGTAATTTACTGCCCAGCCAAGGTTGGCAACATGAAGGAGATCAAATTTTATTGGAAGATACATACTTTCT